TGACCTCATCCTCAACATAAACAAGACAAAGGGAATAATAGTAGGCTTCAGGAAGAACCCCTCCCCTCTGCTGCCTCTGACCATCAAAGGGACTGAGATGGAGAGGGCTAACAGCCACAAGTTCCAGAGCGTGCAGGTGACATCTGACCTGCGCTGGTCACTGAACACAGCTGCCACAGTGAAGAAAGCCCAGCAGCGGATATACTTCACCAGGCAGCTCAGGAAAGCTGGTCTGAACCGTCGCCCTCTCACCCAGGCTTATAGAGGACTGGTAGAGAGCATCCTCATTACTGGCATCACAGTCTGGTATGGTAACACCACACAGGCAGAGAGGAAGGCTCTTCAAAGGGTCATAAAGATGGCAGAGAGGATCATTGGCCCTGAACTGCCTGCTATGGACACAATATACACGCATAGCGCTGTCATAAAAAAACAGAGAACATAATCAGAAACTCACTCCACCCAGCTCACTCCCTGCTCAGACACATAAACTGCACCTACAGCCTCAGGCACAGCAGGGTAAACAGTATCACCACACACAGAACTAGACTTTATTACAGCTTTTCCCCTGCTGCAGTAAGACTGATGGCAAATACAAAAATGTGAGAAACATGTGCAATAACCCCTTACTACCTCTCTAAGTGAAATACCATATCCAATCCACTAGGTGAAATACTATGTGCAATATTTGAAGTTCACCATCTCATCCATTATCTATTATCTTATTTTTTGTATTGTGTTTTTATCTTGAATGCATTTTTATACTATGTCACCCTTACGTAACATTATTTTCAGACTAGATGTTCTATTCTGGCTTTTAACTCTTTACCTGACTCCAAGAGAGCTGCACAAGAATTCCTATATGCCTAGACTGTCTGTTTATGCATAAATGGCAAATAAAAATTTGAGTTTTGAGCCTTGAGTCAGTCGTTAGAGGACATTATTGGCCATCGAAGGACTGAAACACCACCCAGGGGGATAAACACCTCCTGCTCACCACCTGTCGGACAGAACTGATGAAGCCTCTTGGATGAGGGGTGAAACGTCTTCTACCTAAAACCAAGTCCAGGTGATTTTTTTCTATGTTTTTTTCAGCTAAATACATGACCAAAAGCTGTTCTGAGCTCAGCCACACAGAAATAAGCAGGTCTTTACAATTCTCATTTTTCTTCAACATTAGCACAAATTAATAATCCATGCCTTAAAAAAATAAAATACAAATCTGGAATGAAACTGTGACAGCCTCTGTGCAATAATGAGCATTTGATGCTCCTTTCATCCTCCATACTTATTATCATATCATTTATCTTTGTGTGTGTGTGTGTGTGTGTGTGTGTGTGTGTGTGTGGGTGGGTTTGTCTTTATATACTTGTGCGAACCAACCCCTGACGGAACACATTTCTTGTGTAGACATTTCTAGACATTTCTTCTTGTGTCGACCTTTTGGGTGGTCCACACAAGGAAAATGTTAGGATAGGCTCCTTTCATCCTAAAGAATGATCTGTCTAAGTTTCAGAAGATGTCCACATACAGAGAGTAAAGTCAGA